GACGGGAAATAAAATACAATTTTCGAGTAACGGTAATAATTAAAAATTAACGTGCAAGTTAAAATTTTGCACGCTTATTTTCAATTATTATCGGTACTCGAAAAATCAATTTTACATGTCGTTGTACCTGATCCGATTACAAATGGTACATGTAATATTTGTAGAAATCATTTCTCTGGATTCTTAGTAGAAATCGGTGGGTTTGTGATTTCCCTATAATTCCTTCTATTTTTGTTCGATTCGGATTAAATTTTGTTTCGTTGCTTTTTATATTCCGGCGGAAAGTACACACTGCTTAATTTGCACGCGGAAGATATTCTTATCGGTATTTCCTCACGGTCAACTCTGTGTTTCCTTATCTCGTTTAACCAACAATATTAGGGTCCTTATTACTTAGGAAACACGGCAAGGAAACCTTATCAAAAACAATAGAAATTTTGAAAATTTTCCTATATCAATTCGCTTATAATGTATGTTAATTTTTCAAAATTTTCAGTTAACCTATAGTTCAATATCATTGTTACTTTATTTCATTCATCAAAATGCCGCAATAGCTTGGTTAAAACTGATTAAATTATCATGCTTTATTAGTTTCCGGCCTATAAAGAATGGAAACATTATAATCGAAGAAAATGCGGACAGAATATTATCATTTTAGTATTCGTTACATACTTAAACGCATTAATAACTTGTATCATAAATAATATCTAATAAATTCTTTCGTCTGAATAACAATTGTCTTTAATTAATTGTGATCGATCGGATAAATTATTTAATCGTTCTAATACTTATAGCGCCGTTAATTTCTGCAATAAGAAAATAAAAAATAAGAATAGTATTAAGCGATGTACGATCGTTTCCGTCTAAACAGTCCACCCTATAGATCGATCGGATAAATTATTCAATCGTTCTAATACTCATGACGCCGTTAGTTTGTGCAATAAGAAAATAAAAAATAAGAATAGTATTAAGCGATGTACGATCGTTTCCGTCGAAACAGTCCACCCTATAGACCGATATAAAATTGCTTTTCGATCTTTGCTCCAAGTCATTCGCGTCACGGAAATATCAAACGGAATCGTACTCGCGATACATATTCAAAAAGAAAAATTGCAGCTTTAAGTAATACTCTATGAATTTTGATACGCTCTGGCGCGAGTCGCGGGGAACGGCTGATATAAATAATTGCATCCCATCGGCGGAACAGGCCCGAGAATGACGCCAGAGTCTTGACGAGGACGCATAAAAGAGATCTCGAGCCGACAGTGAACTTCAGAAAGTGTTGCATACGTTTTCCCTCTGCAAAGGAAATGACTGCTTATTTTCGACCGTGACGTATCGACAAAAGGCGATCGCGAGGGATCTGATGACAATACCATCGAGGACGCACACATAAAGTGCTTCGTTTCCATATCGACGCGAACACGTTCCAGACTGTGGAAACTCGTGTATTAATTCGTGCATTAATATGCAGTTGCATGCATCGATGAAGATATTCCGATACCAATCACCCGGGGGGTGGGGGGATCGAGGCTCTGTCAAGAACTCACCTACTTCGTGATTTTGCAACATTCGAATAAAATTTTTATCTATAAATATGAATTAATCGTCAACTACTCCGCTGTAGGCAAAAATGGTAACAATTGAATGGTGTAATTAGTTCTTCTGTAAATGGACGCGTAGAGGTCATACGAAGGTCACATGTTCTGAGACGGAATCGTGTAACTTTCGATGCGCTAATGGATGCAGTTCATTATTATCTACGAAAAAGTATTGAGCTGTTTATATCGAAAAATCATTAGTTTGGAAGATATTTTGATCTTAACATTGTTAAGTGATAGACAAATTTTTAATCTGTAGTAATAAAAACCAAGAAATATTAAGAATTGAAATAACTTTGAAATTAATGTAATTTCTTCTTTTATAAAAAAAAACATTAATACAAGTATATAAATGCTTTTCTAAAAAGGCCCAAAATAGAATGGTCGAGAATGATTTTATTTACCCAATAACTATTTACATGAATAAACAGCACGAACGTCCGTCGATAAAAAGCGCGGATCGTAAATATTATTACTCGCAAAATAAACGAGAAGATTCTAGGGTCCCAGGCGGCGCGGCCATTGTGCCCAACGGGCCAGGGTCTGTTGACTTTATTAGTCGATGGTCGAGTACCTACACGGCACGGTGGGACAGGACGAGTTCCGTTCGGCTCGAATTTCGAAACTACTCGTGTATTTCGAGTACGTCGACACTACGAACGCGTCATTTTCACGGATGAATCGCTTGTAAAACGAAAATAAACGCGTGGGGCATACCATCGGTCTCTCTCTCTCTCTCTCTGTCATCGTCCAACGACCGTGTTCAAGGAAATTTCTTGGCTTCCAAAGGGCCATGACCCAAAAGAGACGGAAGAGGGGGCGGTTAAGACTAAGCTAATGTAAGTCGAATTGTCACGACCAGCCTCTATGGCCGAAACTATAGTTTTCTAGGGGCCTCAGCAGGCCCCTTCTACATGAGGGGGGAAGGGGTTGTAGAAGACACCGATTTCAACGAAATTGGCGTGGAATGGTAAGTATCAGCCCACAAAATTCGCAGGTACGATTATTAGCCGAATATGTCTAGAAGCTTTTGAGAAAAGAAAGATACTTTGGGAAATTTTACTTGGAATTATTTTCAAGAATGATATAGATTTTATGCAACCGATGATCGTTAATAATTTCATGTTATGAAAAAGATGAATGAAAAATGTTTATCAAGCTATGCTATATATGTACATTAACTATACTGTTCCAACAAGAACGGTCGAGGCACAGCCTACGCGTTAACTTTCTACCCCGAGTTCAAAGGCTGTGGAACAAACTTTGTTACATTATTAACTCTCCGACAAGTTATTTATCGATTATCAGTAAAATATTTTAATGTTAAAGACGAATGTAAAAATATATCTTCACATTTATTTTGGTCAACGTGGTTGATAAAATTTTTTTTAAATTTTCAACGCCGCCTGACCGTGCCCTTACAAATGGCTGATTGAAGGATCCGCAAGTATAGTTGCATAGTAATGACATTTTATGTATTTTATAACGCGATGATCTCACAATTTAATAACACGTAAAATGTGATTAGTATGTAAATTTATTTACGGGCTCCTACTGTCGCTCGAACTTGGTACACGATCAAAAATTACTTCCCGATAGAATTAGGGTTAGGTTATGCTTCTATTCGTTGTTAGATACTTTTATCTAGATAAGAATTTTGCCCATCTTTGGATGGATGATGTCCACTTCCTGAAAAGCCCAGGTGAACCTGGCGCCTTTCTTCGGCCACCACCTGCCCGTCCCTCGCAACAAGCCGTTCTCACCAGCGCACGCTTTCCGTGGAGGATATTCTCAGGCAGCCTGGCCTGCCGCCTCGTTTCGAAACGAGAATGGGTGAGCTGTAATTCCACGTCGATCGATAAAGAAAACGCTTTCGATTCCCCTCGCGTTTCGTAGCAAGAACGAACGGGTGAAACTGTAAGGTGTACGCCTCGGTTCGGATCTAACAAAATATTTGACGACACTGTACGAACATAACCCCAAAGCTCTGGCCACTAATACGCGATCGTACGCGACGCCCCAAAAGCGGAGACAGGCAAATTTCTTATCTGGATAAAAGTTTCGAGCACCGAACAAAAGGTGGGGATGTTTTTTAATAACTAAGAAATTTGTTTGAAATTCACCGTACTTTGTAAAAAAAAGAAGACAGAGGGGCTTTCGGAACACACGGTAACATTGTGGAGAATAATCTGCAACACGCCCGCAACCTCCACGTACGGAATAACCAATTTAGTGAATATTTATTGCTGAATTAGTCTTTGTGGATCCTTATCCTCACCTCAGCCGAGAAGCTGCTGGTCGTAAACGACGATGGACGTTAATGTAAACGTATTGTATGCTAAAGGGTCTTTATTCGTAAATAGAAACGAATAAAACAATTTACGAAGGATAGGTCGCCACGGAGGGCAAACATGAATTTTTTCTAACCCATTAAGTAGCAGAGCCCTATTTAGAGGACGTACGGAAAATACTTTTTTAACCTGCATTCAAATTTATTTAAATATCGTGTGATGTTAAGATATAAAGTTCAATGACCTTTGCTAATATGACAAGTAATGGTTAGACACGAACAATCGAATTACTTGCAACAAAACTCGAACAATTTGTAATAACTATGCGCACATAACCTCCAATTCTTTTGATCGATGGAATAAATTCTACGATAAATCAGCGAAGAAGAATACTGAGTTGAATACCACCCTAAAATCTAATCTCGTTCGCTGTACAATAGAACGAGAAAGGAAACGGAACGTTGAAAAATTCTATGTTCGTAAACGTGACGACGCGCGAAATAGAAGAAGAAGAAACGTTACTAGGAAGAAGGAGGAGCACACATTGTTTATCGCGACAGTATCGCATTTCTCTCGGCGGATGGCCGGATGGGCGAACCCATGGATCGCCAGTAGAATCCTTCTGACAAAGGAAAGAAGGAGAAACCACGGAAGGCAGAAAAAAAAAACGAACAAGGCACAGAAACGCGTTGTATGCACACCTTCCGTCCCAACACACGCATGTTTCCAACTTATAGATCCTTTACGCGCCGAAAATCATGCTACGAACCCTTTTGGACTTTTTAAATAAATCATATCTAGACACATTTTATCTTTTCTTATTTCGACAAAAATCGAAGCTCTGAACTTTTCAACGGCAATATACTCGTTTGTAAAAATTAATAAAACTGTTCTTTCGTTCGAATCATTTTTATCTTGGAATTAAAATAATATCGTAAGGAACGCGTCTGAAAGAATCGTGACGTATTCGTTTCCGTTAATTTCTCGACGGAGAAGACCAGTTAGCGCCGCGCATTTACCCTTCGCCAATGACGAACACACTTCGCTTACGGGTTAATGTTTCACGAGGCAGTTTCAGAGATGACAGAAATATTGCGCAAGAATATACCTGGTAACCTTTTCGGTCGGTGTCACTCGGTCAGGCACACAAATGGTTTGATTCTGTGCTTGGTTATCGGTAGAAATAAGAACTACGCACAGCGAGCACACGGCGAAGTTATGGCTTCGAACGGGACGAGTTTCGTATCGGGACTATCTTCACTCTGGTAGACCGGTGTATATATCGGGTCAACCGGGCGTCGACTGAAATTTAAATCACGCTATCTGACAGAACCGCAAATATTTGTCGAGATTTCTCACGCGTCCGTTCGATCGTGCCAAGTTCACTTGCGGCACTACGACGATCAGTGGTAATACCAATGATCATATTTAGTATAACAACTTGTACGGTTCGAATACGTTCAAACTATCCCAAGTATTGATTGGATAATCGAACCACTAAAAGTACTATTCGAACGATCGATTTAGATTTCTGTCTACCAACGTGCCGATTATTGCGACAAACTTGTGAAACTTTGCTCGATTCGTGATTCATAGGTCTTTAACAACTTATAAAGATACTCACAATGAGTAACGTCAACTACGTTTGCGAAGGTGGCTCACATACGGTGTATCTTTCGAATCGATGCCTCTTCTTAACGTTTTTATCGTAACACGAAGCACACGACCTTGGGAAGAGCAGAAAGAAACGTTGGCTAGCAGATATTGACGGTGAAAAAAATACTTGCCCGTCTCGTACAGTGTATCGTGCAACTATCGACAGAACCCCGTGCGGTTTCCCCTAGCGAAAAGGTCTGTTTGTTCGCGAGCTCTGAACGCGTGACGAGCATGAGTCGAGAGAAGCATTGACGTAGCGAGACAGAGCCGAGCGAAACGATCGACGGATAACCACGGAAAAGGAGACCACGCATACTGACAGCGACGTACCCTATCGTACTCTGACGCATTGTTTGTCGTTTATTACATTGTTTCGAACTCGCGTGCAAAGAAAAATATATCCGGTGTACGTTCCGCGAGATACGAAATGCCCGCCGGAGGGCGTATCGATTCGGACAAAACATCCGTGGCCAAGTGTACCCGTTCTCGAAACACGTTCCGACAAACCAGACGGAGGTCGTGTTTTTCTACATCGGGAACGCTTATACGTTGCTCGCGATCGGCAGTTGCCGTAAGAAGTACGACAGAACTCAGTTTTCCTACCGTATGGGGTAACACTCCCGCGTCGCTGTCATGCCTTCGATGTCACACCGTTTCTGTGTGCGAACGGTTGAAAGCAGAGGCCACGATGATAGTATCAGACGCACGTACACACTGTGTGACACCGTAGAAGGCACACGCATGTACGCACGCCAGCGCGCACAGCACCTACACACACGCTTGCGGATATGTGAACAACCACCACCGCGCGGTACGCGATTCACACAACCGAACTCGATGGCGGCGCGCGACAGACTGAGACGAAACGCGGCTCGCTAGACTGGAAGGGGAGGTAGCCGCGCGGTGGGGCTGAAGTGGCTCTGGTGGGGGGAGGCTCGCCGCAAGGATGTGCCAACGCCGCCACGGTGCCCCGCGCCTATTGCACCCGCTACGATACGGTCGATAAGTGCTCTGTCGACATGGGTCGATAAGATTTAACGTTGTTCTTCTCTTTTATGTATTTAACTATCTGTGCCAGCGCTCGTAAGTAGTTTTTAGCGATAGCAGAACAATACGGTAATTCTGTATCTACACTTCGGCCGCACGCCCTTTTCGGAATACAAAACCAAATGTAGAAGACGAACACGAAATGTACGATACAACGGAAGATATAATTTTAAATTAATAGGCAATATCATTGCCAGTGATACACGATCATAAATCACAAGCATCGTTTGTAATTTGTTTCGAATATGATGGTCATTAAAATTGATCGAGAATCGATCAAGGTGTGGAAAACCTGTAACAATTACGAAACTATCGAACAGTTCTAACGTCCGATCGTTTGATAATGTACATACTGTCCATTTTTTCGCAGGTCAGTGTAATATACTAAATCAAAGGGAAAGTGTACGAGGCGCTTCGAATTGTAAATTTCATACTACGTAACCTATGGTCTCTCCTATATTATGATTTTATCGATTGACATTAAATGTAAAAGTACAGAGACGGTATTGGTACGTAAGTAGTTTTAAAGGAATACTATACACCTTTTACATATGTCCCCCTTTGATCGAGAAGTATGTCGTTCGGTATAAGTCCCGAGCTCGATTTGTTTAAAAATATATTTCTAACTATTTGAGAAGATCACAATTTCTTTCAATTAAGTGTTACATCGAGCCAATTTATTTTGGTCCTCCTCGACAACGAAATATGACATTAATCTAGGATACAGTGAATCAACGCACATTTATTTTCACACGCTACAATACGTACAAAATATAAAATTAACAGAATGCAAATCTTGCATGGAGCCCTTTATTATTCATTCACAATTAAAACGTTAACGTTTTCGAGCATGTGTTGGTCTACCTCGAATGTAACATAACATAATAATCTGCGTAAAATATAAAATATTCTCACTTTAATTCACTATATTCTACGTTAATGTATATTTCGTTGGTCCGGCAGATAAAAATATATTCGACTGCCGTAACTATGGAACCGCTCTGTACTGTACATCCCTGGGTCCTACAGGGTTTAATATCGTGAAGGGTAGCCGAGAGGAAGGAAGATAGGGGCGACCCTACAGCGAGGGAGTGCTGATGCTAAAGCCGCGAGCATGAAGGGACCTTCAAATAAAAAAAAAAGGTAGGACCTACTGAGCGAACGAACGAACGAGGAAGGGAGAGCGAGAATCCGGTCCCCCTTCTTTCGAGCCTGGGGAAAGGCCGCACCCACGCTGTTCTTCAAGATCACACTAGGTCCCTGCTGGCACAGCCCTGAGCGAGTAAGTAAACAAGCCGAAGTTCTGGTACTTCGATATGGAACGAAGCATTTTCCACGAGGTTGGGTACCCTCGTGAAGCGCAAACGGTCGCTCGCGCGGAGCACGAGCCTTCCAGTTGGGCCACCATGAAGAAAACGAAACGATAATGGAAGCCCGTAAGATGGGAACGTGTCGGTCGTCATGTAAGCAGAAACCATCGAAAATTCGACCGATCCGCAGCGTGAAATATCGTATGGACGATAGTTTCCAAGACACGAGACAAGTTTCGTTCCATTGAATCGCGTACAGGGACGAGCGAGACTTATACAGGTCTGACCATTGTTACTCCGATCACACGACGCTTGCACAATATCGACGAAGTTGCGCTACGTTTTACCAAGCGACACCTTCGTATTTACAGCGAATTCGCGTCATCTAGCCACGGTGACGTACTGCGGCAATACACGAATACGAGACAATCAGAATGCACATACTTTGGGCCAACGAGTTGATCGCCTTTGGTCAAGCCAAAGTCAACACGTGGCAACGCCGCGCTACAGCTGTCATATCGCGTCACGCATCGAGTCAAAGCTCAACTTATTCTACATAAGTGTTTTATAAGAGTCGCCGGATTCTGTCTCCCTCCGTGCGGCGATACGAACCGCTGGAACTAACACGACACAGCGACTGCACACTATCAAACTTTGTTCCTGGTAAAAAGCCATTTCCGAGTTAAAGGACAGCGTTGCGTGGCCATGGTATTACTACTCGGCCCGTCCCGGCGTTAACTCGTGGCGTTCTCATGCCGTCCGCCTTTTCCCTCTCCCGAAATCCCAGACGGGAAAGTGAGTTTCGGAACATGATTGTTAATTTTACGTAACGTACGGCTTGTCTGCTTGCTAGGAACAAGTTTCCCCTCCAGCTTTTACCCAGATCTCCGCTCGATACCGGACTTGAATTTTCTCTCCGTTTCCCAATCCCTGTTCTGGTCGATAAAAAAAAAGAAAAAAAAATCTTATTTTCCATTTTTTGTGCAAGAAGAAGAGGTTAGGTTCGAAGCCTCCGGGGCTGTGCCTCTTTATCGCGCGAGTTATTCGGTAGACGATGATATACGAACAATGCGAATAAATAATAACGACAACGAACGTTGACGGGGAAAAAACTACTTCGTGCAGCTCTCGTAAAAGTTCTCACGGTCTCGAGGAACGTTTTCATTCGGTCGCGAACGAGACGGAGCAGACTGCTTCGACGTGCTTTCGAAAAACAAACCGATATTATCGGCACAGCTATGTTAACTTTGCAGCACGAGGAAGAGGGGACGAGGCGAACAAAGAGATGGAGTGACAGTGAAAGAGAGGACGGAGGGATAGGGTTAGTCTGTATCAACTGTGCACCCTTATCAATTGGAAAATTGGTGTGTGCAGTGGGAGCGGAAGAGGAGGGGACTCGACTACGTTCACCGATGGAGGGGGAAGAGCGATTAGGTTTACGCGTCAGGGACGTACGCGTCGGGAGGTCGTTTGGGAGGGGCCACCAAAGAAATTGTATCGAGTTCGGGTGTAATTTTCCAGTTTTCGAACCTTCGTCGAACACGTCGGACGGAGGGAGGGGGGGATCCTCTAAAGTCAGAAATTGTTTTAACGATCCTGCATTGTCTATGCACCCTCGCGAATTAGAAATTTCAGCCTACCGAGCGAAGAGCCCTGGTGGCGAGAAGGGTGACTCGTACAAAAGCCAGGGGCGTATCCAAGGAATAGAAGGGAGCCTTTGTGTGCACGCTGAGAGAACCAAGAGAACGAGCAAGTGAATCAGCCGAAGAGGACAGGAGAGGGACGGGAACCGAGCGAAGGAGTAAACGAGGAAGAGAGATAAGGCGCTTAGGGCGCATGCGTCACTCGTCGTGGGCGTCGGGAATGTGTTGACACGAGAACCTGAGAGAACGTTGTGGCTCTAACGCCACGACGCCCGGGTTATCGTCGATGCGGTTCCCATACTGCGGGTCCACCCCGTTCTCGCAAAATCTGGGTCTCTTCCCTTCCGTTCCGATCGCAAAATTGCGTCTGACGTTGCCAATGGTCGACCGTACCTTATCGAAGCCGACGGTGATTCAGAAAATATTACGCAGACGACCGAGTCGAACGGAAACGTCGGAAACCCGACGCGATGACCCGTCCGACGATTCGTTTCTCTCGATGTTACTTTATCCTTTTTTTTTTTAAATTACTGCACCATGAAATGGTACTCGTGACACGTCGAGTCACCAATCAGTGATTCATGCCTCGTAAAATAGCGTCGAGACTAGGGTTGAGACTATTGGAATATTTTATGAGTATTCGAATATTTAACTACTCGAATGCAACTGATAACGTATCACGCCATTCGGGTACTACGAACATCTAAATATTTAACGAGTGCACAAAATATTGGAATTATGGACGTTGAATGTTTGAATCGTTTCGACCAAGGCAGGGCCTATTCCAGCATCATTATTCCTATATTATTATTAAAATAATTACACGTCGTACAGTCCATATATTTGATCAGAAAACTTGGACGAGTTGTCCCAACTCTGGTCGAAACTCGGACGAGCAACGTCAACCGATGCCCCGGTCGTAATTTCTAATTTAACTTTTCCCAGTTACGTCGTTGCCGAGGGCCTATTTTTCACGAAACTTTTATCCGATGCTTAGAGGCTCGCGCTACAATCCTTGGGGTTGGGCTCGAGGAAATAGAGAATGGCGCTTCGTAGCAGCAAATGGTGTGCTTCTTCGCGCAGTAAATTTATATTCGGCCAGGTACCGCAAATATAGACGAAAATATATCCGTATAATTAAATTCTAGCCACTTATCGATGGTTTGAACGAATCGTACGATACTATCCTAACGTTACGTAAAAATAATTTCCAACAACGTTTAATTTTGTTCGACGTCTATAAATGTTTCAAATGTTTATAGAATATGGTGGTAATAAAAGTGCAAGAATTATAATCGCGAATAAGAAATTTCAGTTACCATTACGCCGCGGCGTACGAACTTTTATGCATGAGCCAGAACCCTCCACAACCACTTTTGAAAAATTCTATGCATTTGTAAGTAGACTTCATAAACCAATAAGAAGATCGTGATTGTCGAATAGCGAACATCTTGTACCCATTTAAATGTCCGAAGAAACTTTTAATTCGACTGGATTTGTAACCACACAATTTATGCAGTAGTAAAATCTATGTACGTTGTAACTGTACCCTAACCTAACCGGAGCAATTCCATTTTAAAACGAAACAAATAAAACACGCGTTATCTGCGATAAAATAACTCGATTTCACGCCGGGGTTTGTTTACATCCGCAAATTAATTAACAGTGCATTTACACCTTTATCGGGCGTGTACGCGTAGGTAGATAAAACCCGCGATTAATAAATGGTGGCAAGCATCGATTGAGAGAAGCGTCGAAAAATTATTGCATACTGATCGAAGCAACAAAGTTTCACTATCTATAGCTATGTACAGAGAACTATTAGTGTTGCTTTGTATGTACATATAGACCAAGCAAAAAATCCGAAACATTGCAACTACGAACGAACGACGATAAATATTTCTGTCGGGTTGATCGGAACACTTTTCGTTTCGAACGATGCATCCGCCGCTGGTTTCGTTGCGTATTGTCGGCAAAATAACGACTAACCATCGAGTACAATGTACCTCGGCTACGTTGCGCGAAAACACAACGAAAGAACGAAGCCCGAAAACAATTTCGGAAGAAAGCTTTGACCACGCAGAAAAACGTATCGCTTTCACGGATACGCGGAACGCGCGTGATCGTTCGCACGTAATAAACAAACTCGTGTCACTCGATATGCACGGACGTCGGTATGAACGAAATAAAGGAAAGAGGTAAAGGTGCGGCGGGTAAATAAGGAAGAACAAATCGGGGAATAATCGTAACGTACGACACATGTGCATCGGTGCGATCGAACGTGTTATAAATCTTTCCTGTGCATGTAGGGATTTCACCACGCGACTTGTGCATCCTCTGTCTGCGAAGGACACTTATCAAAAAATCGAAGGTGGGATACCACAATGAAAGCCAAATACGAACCCGAGCGGACAAAGAAGTGTGGGCAAAATGCGTATCGAATGGTGGGGGTGGGGGAGGTGGAAAACGAGGAAGAAAGAAATACGGAAAACGGGAGGGGGTTGGGGTAGCTGGAAGCTTTTTGGGGCGCGGGCAAAGGGAGGTAGGGGGGCTAAAAATTTCAAGTTCAGTCACCAGAAAAACGCGTTTGGGATGTCAATGTAAAAGCGATGGAAGTGTTGGGACAGCACACCGTCAGGGTGATGTAAAAGACAGGGTCGAGCGAGCGAGAGAGATAGAGAATAGAGAGACAGCGCGCGTCCAAATTTCGGAGGGAAAACTCCTACCTTTTACTGGGATAATCTGGGATTTTCAGAGTGATGTCATAGCAGAGTACGTTCGTTGTGCTAGGCGAAACCGACGGTCGGCGATGGCCGTGCAGCTCACCACTGAGAACACTGAGGTCGCTCCATGTCTCTCACTCGACCCAAGCCACGACCTCGCCCATGTTATGGGCCTACTGATATTCTCGAGGTCGTATGTTAAACCATAAACCACCAAATACGTTCATATATCTGATTAATATCGCCCGTAAACTAGCAAAGATATCGTCTGATATTCCGCGTAGCAGTATCTGCGTCGCAAGATTATCAGCGTTCTTGGGCACTGACGTCAAAGCCTTTCACGAACTTCCAATATCTCGCCGTGGGTTAATGGCGGCACCACTTGCTTGCATCGCAATAGTCACGTTGTTTTCCGCCGATATCGACGGAGAAAAAAATTCAACGACGCAACATTTATTCTCGTATTTTTTACTAAATGCGTTCTTCTTTTTCATTATCGTTGCTTCTTTCAAACGATAAATGACGATTTACGTTCGAATTTTTACAAATGTTGCATCTACGAATGAATCTCCTTTGTCTTCCTTGGCGTTTATGTGTTTCTACCTTGTGCAAAGGGGCCGCATATTCACGAAAAGCTCGACGAGTTTAAAAAGTTCGCCACGATGGGAGTATGGTAGGTGAGTCGCTTTTACAATACTGTGAATCTCCATAGACTATTTCTCTTTCAGTTCCTGTGTCGTAGCATTTTATGAATCATATCACATCGAATCTCAAGATTATATATTTCTTAAATCCTTTTAATTTCGCAATACTCGAAGAGGCTGTTGAGCAACCGATTCGCGAAAAACATATATTCTTTATAGAATTTTTAAGATACGATATACTAAGCTTCCGCAACGAACAATTGGACAAAATGATTATTTAATCACGCGGAAATTAATTGAACTAAGAAACCGGTACCTTGCAGGGATTTAAACATCGTCTCCAGATGCTGTAACATCTAAATAATAAAAAGCTATGATTTACAACAGATTATAGGGAAATTATACAGAACTACGTTTCTTATTCCTTCGAATCATACCACTTTATGCATATACATACACTCACTACACTGAAGTTGCGCTGAAGGGAATATAGTAGATACGTAAATGCAACCCCTTCTCTTTCCAGCAAGGTTTTAAAGTCGTGCAGATGAAACGCTAGATGGCGTTATTGCAGCTGCACGATGCAGAAGTATGTATAGAATCACTATGATGCTGATCGTATGATAGAACAGCTTTAACTTTCCGAAACATCTAACCTGGACACGAATAACCTACATTTGCACGACGAGTCGCACCATTAATTTATTACGTATAAAATTAATATTATTACGTATCACCATCATGTTATTAATATTACCAAACTGCTAACACATAAATGGTTGACACCGCAAATTAACTGGTATGACTGGTATTAACTTTTCATAAGTGTAGCATTATTTAATCCCAACTACTTATCCGAAATATATTCTATCAATGCACAGTTCGCTAACATATAATTTTATTTTTACTTTTATTTAACGTTTACCTTGTCGCTTCTAAATTAATATGAAGAGTAACAAACGTATAGTTACATTTCTTTTTCTCCTCCTTCGAAGCAACAACTTTCGATGTTTCCATATTTAGAAAGTAGATTAGGAAAATTATTATATATGATTTAATAACGAATATTGTATCGTTATACTATGTTTATATATTTTACAATGCATAAACATACGTTTGGTCGATTATTAACAGCATGAATGCAAATATATTATTGCTAAGCAAGGAAAAACTTATTGTTCGAATTGACACACCATTTTTATCCATTTTTTATCAAAAGGTTTCGAGCATTTCCTGTTCATCTTTCATAAAGGCGATCTGATAAACAAGGAAAGAAACAATAAGGTGTGTAAAACCATTTCTTAAATTCAGACCTGTGTCACAAGGTGTCGTGCTTCACTACTTTCGACCAATCATCACGCCAGTACCTTCCGATCGTTATACAGAACGCCAGTTTATTTTATAAATTTGCCATAGAATACAGCAACAAAGTAGTGTGTCGAGCAACAAAAAATTCTAAAGCATTTTTAACATATGAGAAATTGCAAAATTATATTTACAACAAGATTTTTAAGGGCACATAATAAATTGTACGAAAAAAGCCGAAAATACACGAAAGAGAAGCGACGCGATTGGACAGAGTAAGTCATGTAAATCGAAACGCTCTTGGCTATTGGCCGAACACGAGTAGAGGGGAATGTTCGTACCCTTAAGATAGGCCTGCGTCTTCACAAAGACAAGAGACAGTATTGGAGAAGGATTGTGCTTACAGGCACGAAGTTTACGAGTTCAATCGCAGTATCTGGTTTCAGCGAGTGTAGTGTGAGTTAGAGGAGCGAAGAGGAAAGGTTACAGTGAGAGGAAGAAGGGAAAAGACGAGGCTGAAAATTGACGGGCATCGATTAGGATGATTACAAGCTTTTTTCAAATTCAATGAACGTCGTTTAGTGCGTGTGCGTATACAGTCACGTACGCGATATTACAAATAAAGTTAATTCACGTTTGTGAACATATGCCGTACACGCGCGTGCGCGTAGTGAAAGGACGAACACATAAATTTCGCTGTCGGACTGTGATCGTATCGTGAAAAATCCGTGGAGGGCAGCGAAAACAAACAATTCGTGACCGCCATCTTGCGCCTCACCAGCTGCGTTGAAAAGAAGTGGGAGAACTAAAACGACGTGTGTGTGCTTTTATTTTGTTGGAAGAAGTGCAAACAAGAGGTGACCTACGGTCACCGAATGTGGTCAAATTCGCAAAAAACACGAATAGGGAGGACTGCGAGAGAACTCGAAACAAGCGGGGCGAGGTAGCATTGCGCTCGTAGAGGAGGTTCGTGGGATACCCCACCAAGTTTATTTCTCCGCGTTCCCCCTACCCTTTGTGTCCTGGATCTCGAGATTATTGCGCAGTTTGAAAAATCACTGAACACACAACACCATCTAAAACTTTTGGTTTCATCTTCAGAGAATAGCCCGCGGACATAATACGGTAAGTCTTCCGGTGTACATTGAAAATTAATTACATACATTCATCCCCTCTTCTATGTTTATGCGGCTTCGTAGCGTTGTAGTTGTTGAACGTAATAGCGCGGACAAAATCTCTCGGTATATTTTTATTATCAATTTATTTATGATCAAAATAATGAAATTGATTTGAAAGATTTTTTATTCGGTGTATTTTATTTCTACTTAAACATGGAATGTATACGATATTTAACACGATGCAAAGTTTGTGTTATTACTCGATCATAAGCATTTACATTGCGTGACATGAAATAAAACTGAATGAACGAATTTAATTAAGGCATGTTTATTAAATGCGACGTATCGTCTTATCGAACTTAACGATTATCGATTCGATCGGAACTATGTATATGATGGCGTATGTGAATAAAAGAACGATTCGTTTTACAGACGGGTTGATTGACTTTGTGAGTCGAAAGTTCGATAAAGAAGCCATGACGAATTCGGCACCAAAATTGAACAACAAGGTAGAACGGCATGGTTCGCCAAATGTCGGCGTAGACCGGCACCATCACCGTACAGGTGCAATGAAATCGTCGACGTTCTTCCACAATAGCGGAAGATCTTTTGGCAGAAATTCAACCGGTAGATTGAGCTGCAGTCCTCATTGTTCGTCCAAAAGTACAAGAAATTCTCTGATACGGTACGACTACAGTCCCCGCGGAAGTCCAACAAACAGCTTTTATGCTGGTGCAAAGTTTTCCGAACCGCCGTCTCCTGCGAGCCTTCCCAGACCACCGAGCCATTGGACTATGAGACTGATGGGCAGCTGTCAGCAAGCTGACAGGAGTTGCGATATTTCAAATCATCTTAAGATGATATTAAACGTCCAAGCCTGATACCCAAAGACCAACGGACCGCTAAAAACGGTTGTCAGCTTTTAAAACAAAGAGACAGGTACAACGTTATCGTCCTCCCTCATGGATGAAGGATGTATTTTTCTCTTATATGTGATATCAAGCTGCTCGTTTAAAAAAAAAAGAGAAAGTGTTTACATGAGAACAACTGCGTGATAACACAATCTAAAGACGATACAAGTAATACGCAACTAGTTCAGGGCACCAGTGTCTTCAGTTTCATGGAATGGATGCTAAGTGAAAACCGTAATTTGTTCTTTAAGCTATTATACAAAGCATACAAACACTAAGGAGAACGACGCGGGTGCGTCTGTTGCGAACCGTGATTCAAGTATATGATAACTTGTAACAATTCTATTATGCGCCGTCTATGAAGATATAAACGTATGTATTTTAGATTATTATTATATATGGTTAACTTGCAGAGACGCATACACATACACATATACACAGCAGACATTATTATATTATCTGTTTGACGAAATGGTACGAAGACACAAGCAAAGTTGCATTAGCTATTTTTAGAAATGATAGCTATATTTTTCTTTTTTTTTCTTTACTCAAAATTGCCACAACATTGGCACTGTTGATTATGATAGTAATCTTTCATTCTTTTCCGTTACGCCCAAAGCAATTCTAAAAACGTTTATATGGTTTGTCCTGGGATTCATGCTATCATTTTTTTTTTTTTCATCGAGGATTACTATATACTTACAACATAAGTGGTAAACTTTAAGTATTATATATATTCGTCTACTGCTCTTTAGCGTAAACCCAGGTATCGATTCAGTATGTCTCTGACTAATGACTATAATCGCTAATTTGTCATCCCCAGTTTTTGTTAAGCTTTTGATATTTTGGTGTAACTCGTAAGTTTATTCTTAAAGGGATAATCAAATTATCCTCGTAAGAATTTTCCATGCAAAATTTTTTTATTTCTATTCGTCTTACTCTTTTATTGAAAGTATTCTTATTATGTTTGCAACTTTGCAATACCTCTGCAAAGCAATATATAAGATTCAAATGACGAGTTTCCAATGTGTATACAACTGGATTAATACTTTGGAATTCGTGATTCATTGATTAAAAAATGAAATAAATGTGATCGATGATCGAATGAATGATGGAGAAAGAGATTAAGATGTGTGTCGATATATGATAGTTATTCATTTCTTTCAGGTGTTCATGATCTAGCAATATTTGTGCTTAAATTAAATAATTTTTACGAAAAATTCCTATACGTGACAAATTAAAAAATTAGTTTTTACATAATATATGAGGTGTAGTCGGAACATTGTCGTTATAAAGTCAATATAGGGCTCTTGCTTATCTTCTAAATTGTAGTATCGTTCGATAATATCGTCGATAATTTCCTACTATATAAATATTACATTGGAACATAAAGTCAAAAGTTTTTTTCTTTTTTCCATAAATGCATATGTTTCAAAAATTCTTTTAATCGTTAAATTTTTGCTCGATGGATACAACAATATTTTTTTGTCTTTCTTTTTCAATAATATCGCACTTATTTTGACATTACATTATAACAAAAGTGACAATGGTTTTTAATTGCCTTGCAAATTTTTTTTTTTTTTTTTTTACTCGAAACAGATACATTTAAATATGTAGACTGACCAAATTACTTGAAGCGATATTTTAACCAATACTTGATTTTTTGTTTTATTTAAAAGAAGGCATTGTTTTTTTAAATTACGTTAGTTTCATTCTCCCCTTAGTATATACTTTTTTTCTGATAAGTTAGTTTATAGGGTGAATTACGAAATAAGTTGGTGTATGTATATGCAGATCTCAGAACGAGTGCATCCAATACGTCTGTATGAATGATTATATGTATGGAAGAATGAGAGGGAAAGTGAGAAAAAAAGACATCAAAATGTGCAATTTCGAACTTTCAATTACTTTCTCCGTATTTGTAGTCCAGTAAGGCAAAATTTTTAATCGTATCTATAGCATCTTTAACAGCCGTCGCGTGAAATGGTTGATAGAAATCCTGATGTGAGAAGTCCGACGAGAATTTCATTGGTTTCAATCAGCAACCGGTTCTCATCGAACACGATCTCTCGATCAATTCTTGTTTTTCTTTCTCGATAGCCGGTGCCGTGCAGTGGCTGGTAGAAGGAACAGTTTCGAGAAAAGAGAAAACGGTCTCGTTCGTAATTCGATTATTCGTAAGCGTATGTTTTAAAATTTACATAGTTTCCACGAAATTATTATTTTCCCTTAATATCGGTTAATCGTTATTGTTGAAATTCCTCGTAAATTATCGAAACAATTCTCTTTTTTTTGTTGAACGCGTCGATCCGACGATTTCCGTTCACTGGAAAACATTTCACAAACAAGAAAGTTTCATCAGCTCATGTGTGATAAGCGATAGAGTCGGAAAATAACCGACGATCCATACGTGTAATCTGGTTAGTTGCGAAATAGTTCCTGTTCTCGATGGAAGAGGAATCGTCGTCGCAGTAGTAGATATAACCTGTTAATTTGTTGAAAAAAAAAATCATTTCGTTGGGTGTTCTTGTTCCGTTCGGTGGTTTTAGTTTCGAAATAATTAGTACAACAGATCTCTTTCTTCTCAGCCGTAAGGCGTTTCAGTATTTGCCCAGTGATTCTTTAAGTTTTCGAAATGTCGCGAACCTCCTCTTTAGTCGTTTAAACATCAGTTTGTAAATACGTGCCAGGGATCGGTTAAATTTTTCACGAGCGTGCGTTACGAATTGTTCCGAAGGCTCATCGGGCGCGAAGTAAACGAATTAAAACACTGCCGTCCTGTGAGAGGTCGATGAACTTACAAAGCTGATACGTACGGAGATTATCGCACAGACGCGCATCGATTACGAATTGTGTAAATAGACAGCGGTGGAAATTGTAATTTTGAACAGCACGTGTAAATGTCCTGTAAAAATTAGTGTATATACGAACGAAAAAAAAAAGTAAACAGACACGTATTATGTATATGTATATATATACATACGAATAAGGGGAATAATGGTCTCGATGGTAACGGCGTTTTGTTCCGTTCCGATCGAGAGCGTGATTAGAAATTCGGATCTTTAAGTGCAGCAATATAATGCGTACACTTGCTCGAGTCTCGCTGAGAAGCGAAAAATAGTCAGTATGTGCAAAGTAACAAAGATTTCAACAACAAAAAAAAAAAAAAATAGAAGGGGGGAAAGACAGTCGAAGGTTGCCAGGCTCGATTCGAGCGATCTTTCTGTTGGCGAATGAAACAGAGGGGGCGCTGCGAAGGGATAACGAACGAAAGAAAGAAAAATGACGTCCGGTAAGGACGGGGAACGAGAGGCACGAATTACAAAGTGAACTAATCAACCAATCGATAATATTAATGAAAAAGAATGATAAGAAATTAGCTGTGATGATGACTCTATAGGTACTACTAATTTTTAATTGGTAACTGATCAACATATATATATATACACACATATATATTATATATTATATGTATATGATAAATAATAAGGCGGGGTAATTTAAGAACGTGCGAGTTACGATGACAAAATGAAAATTACGGTTCTTTCGAGAAAAATGTGAGGGTAACGCGAGAGAGAGAGAGAGATACGATATACTCTAAAACAAAAATGTTGGGAGACGATTTTCTCTGTCTCAAAAAAATGGGGTTACCACCCCGCACGCTCTTCAAGTGTTACTATTAATTTATCGTAATGTTTTAGTGGTTAGCGATACACGCAGATATAATAGTGCTCGAACGCGCGCGACGCAATAAAAAAAAAAAAAGGGGGTGCAATGTTTACCGCGACAAGGACAAAGGAAAAAAAAATATATTGTTTAGGAACTCTCGAAATACGTCGTCCATCGTGTGTCGTAATCTACCTTCGTGACTTTAAGATGAGAATATAGTTAGTAGTTCTAATTATAAGAGCCAACGAGAACTTGGGTCGTTTCGAAAAATGGGATCGAGGTCGGGCGAGAATTTTATCTTCAAAGACGGTTTCCGGTTTTCGATTTACGCTCTTTTTCCGTTTTCCAAGAATTTCGAATTGCTGGGATTACGCGAAACGGTGGATAAAAAATGCCCCCGCGGGGTGGTTTTGTCGAAATCGGTAGACACAGGATCAGGGAAGGGAGAAAACAAAGGACACGAGACGATCCATACTCGACTGGCATTTATTGTGATATTGTAACGTACAAATCGTTCGTCGCGAGTTACACGAGAGATCGAGGAATAATCGATAAGACAAAATTATGATTCTCGTGAAAAGCTTCACGGATGTGTCATGGGTCCATTTTGAAGGGGAAAAAAAAAAAATGAAACACAAAAGATACAAGTGGCATCCTCGTCTAACATTCTGTGGCTTGCAGCATTTTTATGCTCTGTTCGTAGTCACGCAAATGTTGTCTGTTGTGTTCATAGTGTTGTTTAACAACGAAATTCGAATTATCGATTATGGGTTGCAATATTTTTTTTTTTGCCTAAATTTTTCTTTTTCTCTTGTTCAAATTTGTCGCAACGTAGAATTATTTTGCCCTCTTTTGTGGTCGCGATCACGAAACGTTACTCAATGATAAGTTACACGGAGATCGAAGAAGCTGGTACGATAAAAAGAATCGAAAAATTTTGTTTTATGGTTTGTCGTTGTTTCGGCTTGGCAGGAGTTTCGTTTCGCCAGCATTGCTTTGTTTCAAAACTATAGAGCCAGCGAATGTTCCGATATGAAAAATACCAATAGGAGAATTAGTTAACCGACGCTCCGGAAACGCGTTTGCGTCGAAGCGAATGCGTCATTACAAACTGCCATGTCTACCATTATTTACACCGTGATGCATCCGTCGACGAACATTGCGTGACATGTAAGCGAACACATGACTTTGCATGTGCTTCTTGTATGTCCCGTTTAAATCTACATATGTATCTTCGTACCTTTTGAACAATTTTCTTTTACTGGTCTCTTTCGAAAGTTAAAATCGTGTCCTGTACGTTC